TCAATGCATTTCACATACATTCTGTCCCTACTGCTTTGTCCTGTGCCCTGCCTGCATTTTTACTGTTCTTTCTCCCTGGAAACTTAGAAAAGTCCATGGCATCCAAAAAGCGTCCCTTTACGTCAAAAGCGGTTTTAGACCGGCTAGAGAACAGCGATAGTAAATCAGAACCACTTGCAGAATTGAGTGATAATGATTCATGGGGAAATTCGTCATCAGACACTGAAACGATTTTGCGACTTTGCTCAGTGATGTGCGAATTTGCCTCTGTATTTCAAATTTTCAGTGTTATATTATTGAATTCAATTTATTATTATTATATTATTATTTTTTATGATTATTTATTAAATTATAATTTATGATTTCGTGTTTCAAGTTTTATCATATCCGGAATGTTTACTAGACTCTTGTTCGGACAGATTTCAGTGAGTTATTCCTAAAAATTACAGCCTACAATAAAAAACTACATATTTCCATGCAAAAAAATGGTATCGCTTTCCGCACAAAAAATCGGAAAGAATCATACCGCCGAGGAGGTTAAGGGCTTGAGTGAAGTAAAAAAAAAAAAAAAAACCACAATATTCCTCCTAGATTGTAAACTCGAAAGAGCAGGGCCCTCAATCCCCTCATGTTTTGCATTGTATTGGTATTGTTCTGTCACATGTTCTGTCCCCCTTTGTAATGTACAGCGCTGAGCGAACTATTGGCACTTTATAAATACTGTATTATAATAATAATAAATAATAATAATAATGTACTGTCCCCACTACTCTGTACAGCGCTGAGCAAACTTTATGGCGCTGTATAAATACTGTATAAAAATAATAATATTCCTGGCACACAAAACTCCTAAAACTTTCATCATGCCCACTTTCAGAAACAGTTGTTTTACTTTTTCCCCCTCTGCTGCCTTTAAATATGCCTTCAGGATAAAAGTGATTTTTTAATATTAGAAAAGTTCCCCGTATTGCGGATCTGACATGAATGGTAGTTTTTGGCAGTCAGCTGACAACACTCAATCTGTTATTTGAAATGGAAAGGGCTGTACACACAGATGTAATATATTACAGAGAATGACAAACACTTATTACAAGGGGAACATATACTTATGCACAAATTAACGTCAACTCCACATTAGAAACATTAATAAAAAATAAATAAAATAAAGTATATAAAAAAGCAAATAACAATCAATTCATTCAATCAAATCTAAAAGCTAATTCATAAACATAACATTTGTCCCGAAAAAAAAAAAATCTTAAAAATAGTTTTTTCTACATAAGCAGCATCAATAAAACTCTTTTCTACTTTTGCTTTTAGCAGTACGGTTTATTCAAAATTGTACACACTAACCCTTTGCAAGAAATACTACACTTAATGCAAGCCATTTTATTTTCCCTTTTGGGAAGAAATTAAACAGGAAAAGAAAAAAAAAAAACCATCGCGCTGTACCACTTTAAAAATTGTTATTCAAATTACACATGGAAAAAACTACTTTGCAAGTCATAATTTGGGAACTTGCAAGACGCTGGTCAATCACAAGCTACCTGCTGCTCTAGAAGGCAACCAAAAAAAGAAAATTGTTAAAAAGCAACTTAGCTAGCATGGTGCAAATTGTTCGCAAATGGAAGAACATTGTACGCCTTGAAAGTGCAATGATTGTTTTTAAAGCTCGGTTCTCATATATGCTGATTAACGTCACGGGCAGGCAAATTGTTCATATGATGAAAGGTATCTATTCATAAGGAGCACAAAAATAAGCATTTTAGTATTCTGAAAAGAAATTTTCTCTCGTTAAATGACTTTGCTAACTACGGCAAGGTTTGGAATAATGTATCCATTTAGTATTTTTTTTTTTTTTCCCCCCCCCTCCGAAATTTTGTTCTTTTTCAACATTACTTCAATCTGAGCCATCGAGTTCCGCGCAAGCAACATAATGAATTTGATAACAACGGGATTTAGATGTTGAAACTTTAAGTGTTGTTCTTTAATGCTCAAAACTTGTTTCATATGCTTGTACTGAACTATATTCACATGATATTTTAAAAAAACAAAAATAGTTGGCAAAAACGAATTCTACATTTGCAGGTCAGGCCAACAAAGCTATGACCAAAGCCGATGATGTAAGCCATTGCAAATGTTGATGTTGTTTATATGTTTTGCATGGTTTTTCTGTGATATCTAAGGGTTTGGAAGAGTTTTGATTGCTTTGGGTCCTAATGTGCAGGGTCAGTCAGTGAGGAAAACAACGCTAAAAGCATTCCACTGTGAAAAAAAAAAAACACTTTGAGTTAAATAAATCTTAGTCATATAAATTTATAGCTCAAGGTACACGAGAGGTTAATATGAAAACTTACTTTCGCTCACGAAACACAACCTACGCTTTTCTTGGGATGCACTTGGAATCAGGTTAACCTAGATAGGTGCTGCTCCAGGTGGAAGGGTCAGGACTAATATTATCTCCCGGGTTTTCATTAGCGGGCTTTCTTGGGCCTGACCCACTGGTCCTGTGCATATAAAAAAGGGATGGTGGTCCAGAGCCGAGGGTGAAGGGGAGGAAGAAGAGTGGTAACCATTGGGGTATCTGTATCCTGCATTACGAAAGATCTGGATTGCAGAGTTCCCAGCCATGAGCTGGATGTCACCACCAAAGCTGGAGTCTGAGATCATTTACCTTTGGAAACCTTCCGCTGTAGGAAGGACTGCTAGTCCATCCTAGTCATTTCTAGTTGGTGAGTGAGGATTTTACTCACACGTGGTGAAGCACTTAAACAGGAAGCGTCATCTCACAATATCGTTTTATGGCACAGTGATTGGAGAATCTTTCATACAATCATGGACTCGCTGTCATTTGATATATGACTCATGAATACTCATTATGTGATTCTGTTGTGACTAATGTTATGGTTTTATGCACAGTTTATTATTTTGTTAGGAATAGCGACTACCTTTATATTTTACTATGACAAAAGGTATACGAGCGCTAGGTAGTGCAGGAAAAAAAGCAGCTGACATAAAGGCAAAACCTCTTAACCTTCATAAAATCCAATATATATATGCAGCGCTAAAAATCGAATGACACATATGATATAAGCAGATATATTTGCGCTGTGAGGCGCTGAAGTTGTATTCAAGTGCAATGAACGTCTGCGGACGTTATATTGTGCAGGTGGTGAACTTTAATAATAAGGTGATACAAATAAGCACATAAGTCCCAAACTCCATACAGAAGTGAAAAACGTGACTCCAGTGATGTATAAATGAGTGTAGATTGCACTAACCAGATAGCGCAATCATATGCACATTTGAGTACTTCAACCACTCCTGGTCCTCCTGGTGACATACAGAGATAGGTAGAGTTCCTGACTCTGTACACAGTGTAGTAGAGCAGCATACTTGCTGGTGCCACCCTTTCCCTGTCACTATCCGACATCAGCTACCAGCAAGGTATGGCCGTTCTGTAGGTGGTTAAAGCTCCCAAGGAGCCCCAAAAAGAGGAAGCCAATAGCATGATATCGTTTAAAAGAGGGTATTTATTCCAACCAAACAGGAGTAAAATAAATCACACTGACCAGTTGCAGTTTTCCAAGATGGCCACTGGGACCCACGTGGTGCCGGAGGCGTGACGTCCTGATGCTGTAGCTCCTCCCTGATGCGTTTCATGCAATAGCACGTATTCATAGGGGATGCACACCCCCTATGAATACGTGCTATTGCACGAAACGCGCAATATACCTTGCTGGTAGCTGATGTCGAATAGTGAGGGAGACCTGACCAGACCTTAAAGGGATCTTCGGTTCTCAGAGATTGTCATCTCTAAATGCTCAGACTGATTGCGTATCTGGTGAGTGCGCAATCTTTTACTTGAGATTTATCACCACTTTATTGGATCAGAATATTGGATCCTGAAGATCATCACGATCTCCCATGCACCTCATATTTGGACTATAGTTTGGCACTTTGCACACTAGCTGTCACTATATAGTGACATAATACATTATTGTTTCATCACTTTATTTATTGATGTGCCAACACTTTATCACCGTGGTCACCCATCTGGTTACCTGTTACATTTGGGGTGTATATGTATATATTGTTTTGACAATATTGACACATTTTGTTTATCACTTAGTCATTTTATTGTTTATTTATTGTGCCATAGATTTATTATTTACGTTTTATTGATTCTGTTCATTTACCTTGTATTATTCATGTGGTCATTTTAGCGCTACACCCCTGCTATTTATGGTTTATTTTAGAGGTTTTTTGGTAGCTTTGGTGTTTAGCAGCTTATAGACTTTTAGTGCTCGCCTAACCTCGTCTTTTATATACTTACCTAGGTGGATGCAGAATTGGTCTGATGCTGCATCTGTCCCCCCGCCGTCTTTCAGGCTGAGAACTCAGCAGTCACATGATCGCTGAGTTTTCACAGCCGCTCTGAGCAGAGAGCATGGCTGTCAGTCACCGCTCTCTGCTTGGCCCTCCCCATGCTCACTGGAGTGCTGGGCTGTGGAGGTGGAGGGAGCAGCTGGCTGAGGCTCTCAGCAGATCACTTAGAGCACAGGTGTCAAACTGGCGGCCCTCCATCTGTTGTCAAACTACAAGTCCCATGAGGCATTGCAAGAGTGACAGTTACAAGCGTGACTCCCAAAGGTAGAGGCATGATGGGACTTGTAGTTTTTCAACAGCTGGAGGGCCGCCAGTTTAACACCCCTGACTTATAGGCTGAGCCAGGTGCCGCTCCAGACTCTGAGGTGGATCCTGACCAGGGGCGGACTGACAACTCATGGGGCCCCCGGGCAATAGGGGATCATGGGGCCCCTGTGTCCTTGCCCAAACTCAAAAAAGCCTATGAAAAAGGTACCAGGGGCATCTCATGGGGCCCCCTACTGACCCCGGGCCTCTGGCAGTGCCCGAGATTCCAAATGGTCAGTCCGCCCCTGATCCTGACTTTGAAGTAGGGATCTTTCCCAAGCTTGGACCGGCTGAGTGACATCAACTAACAGTAGGCTTCAGCCTGCTGTCAGCTGAAAATGAAGTGCACTCCTGTGATCCACAGAAGAAGTACAGCCAAAAGAACTTTGGCTGTACTTCTCCTTTAATGTTTAAAAACCATGTAGAAAATACTGCCTACCTGCTCAAGCAAATGCAAAGGAGAAAACAAATGAGACAAAAACACAGAGTAACAACTAAAATAGCAGGAGGTTTATTCAAAGAGCAAAAGGTACTTCACCAGTGGGCATCAAACTTCGCCTTCATGTGTTTCACACAAGAAACACTTATCCATAAGACATTATAACTGAAGCAAAACTTTGCCCAGACTATGCATATTTACATATTCTGAAGAAAAGCAGTTAAATAGCTTTGAAACTAGCCTTCATTCACCTCTGTCGCAAAAGGCACTTTGGAGAAATTAATCTTCAATGTTTACAACGAAGACACTTAAATTTAATCTCTTTTGTATGACTTTTCCATTGCAGCAAAATCTTGTCAGCCCTCTAATTGAAACACACAGAAGGTGCTTCTAAGCTGTCAAAACCTAGTGAAACCCAATGCTAGATTCTTTGTTATGATCTATGAAAAGGAACCACTTCACAGTACAAGCAGCTAGAGCGCTTGTTTTAAAGCTTCTTTTTACACAGGCACCCAGGAGGCAGTAAAAACAGGCAGTTGATACCAGTGGGACGGACTGACAACTCATGGGCCCCTGGGCAATAGGGGATCATGGGGCCCCTGTGGTCTTTGCCCAAACTCAAAAAAGCCTATGAAAAAGGTACCAGGGGCATCTCATGGGGCCCCCTACTGACCCCGGGACCTCGGGCAGTGCCCGAGTTTCCAAATGTACAGTCCGCCCCTGGTTGATACATATTTTTACTGACACGATTGCCAAACCTACAAGCAGACATGATACTGCTTGAATTAGCAAACATTGTCCGTTGCAGCAATTTCAACGCTGCATATGCACAGTTTGAGAGTCAGCACATTGAAGAACAGTTCTGCAATGTAAATTGTCCATTGGACAATAAAAAGCAATAAAAAAAAGTCCTTAGGAGGCACAGCAAGTGTCGCCTATATGAACACATGGGAACTGTTCAGACTCATATCCAACACTGCCATTCTATGGGCAAGTTTCACTGGGACATCATGTCTGACTTGTTAGAAACTCTGTTTTCCATTAGAATTTTCTTAGGTGAAAGTCTTACAAGAAAGGTCCTGAGTCTTTTCTTAACCTACTGACATGTGATAAACACGTGCATAGCCCAGTTTGCATACATAGTACTAGGACCAATTGTTTGACTAAAGCCCATTGACCTACCAGAGGACTTGGAGAAATCCATGTGAACAAGGCACCAAGGATCCAGTGTTGCAAGGCACTAAGTTCCTTGCTACCCACTATGCCACGATGCACTGCCACAGCTTGCTTGTAAAGAATATAGTAAATAATTTAATGTCCGTAACCTGGGGAACAGCTGCACTTTAAACACTTGTGCAAAGTGCACTATCAAGAGCACAGAACAAACCATCCGATATTCTGTGCATATCCTCCGGAGCACTTGCCTTTTTGTGTGGCTGTAAGTGAAATTGGGTCAGGCAAGGCTCTCACAGTCCCCCTGGTGTCCAACCTGAGGCCGGAGGCCACATGCAGCTCTTTGGTATATGTTGTGCTGCCCTTGGACCTCAGCAAAATTTGGTAAAAAATAAAATTGATTTGGGTAAATAGCAATGATCTCTACACAGCCACACATGTAATATGTATCCCAGTTTGTATTGTCTTCTAGGCGGCATATCTCCATCTGAAAATGCAGCATGATCGACACTGCAGCCCTCCTGACCCTCATTTCCATTTATTAGGCTGGCAGTTTCCTACAGTCCTCTCAAGAATTAACATTATATTGAACATTATGTGCGGCCCTTTGGTGATGTCATGGGCCGCATTTGAGGCCCCTTTAACTAATAAGTTGACAAACCACTGTGTCTAAGAACGGTCCTGGTGAATGTGCACTGCAGGTGGATATTGTAGCTGGCCTCCCTGCCGGCATCGTAATCCACATTAATGAACTCTAAAGGAAGCCTTTAACCTCCTTAGCGGTATTGGCGCCTGAGTGTAACTCGGGGTAAAATTTCAATACCAAGAGCGGTAATCCCTGAGCACACACTCGGGCGCATATTACCATGTCGGGCCCCGTTGCTCAGGGGGTCCATGCAGCACTTACCTTGTCCTTCGCATCGACCACGATGTCCCCTGCAGTGTCCCCCGGCCATACTCCTCCGGCTGATGCCAGCAGTCCGGCTTCCGTGATTCCGGTCCCCTGTGATGTCGGACGTACGGGCGCCGGAACCGTGGCGGGAAATTTGAAATTTTATTTTAAAAATGTCATGTTTTGCTGTTTCAATGCATTTCACATATATTTTGTCCCTACTGGCTCTTGTCCGCGCCCTGCCTGCCTTGCCTTTTACTGTTCTTTTCTCCCTGGAAACTTAGAAAAGATCCACGGCGTCCAAAAAGTGTCCCTGTTTACGTCAAAAGCGGTTTTTAGAACAGCGATAGTAAAATCAGAACTCACTTGCAGAGTTTGAGTGATAATGATTCGTGGGGGAAATTCGTCATCAGAACACTAGTGAAAAATGATATTAGCGACTTTGCTCAGCAATGTGCGAATGTTAGCCTCTGTATTTCAAATTTCAGTGTTTTAGTGGTTTGATTATATTATTGAATTAAATTTATTATTATTATATTATTAATTTTATATGATTATTTATTAAATTATATTTTATGATTTCGTGTTTCAAAGTTTTTATCATATCCAGAAATGTCTTACTAGACTCTTGTTCGGAGGGGGGGGGGGGGGGGGGGGGGGGGGGGGGGGGGGGGGGGGTGGTCAACAGATTTCACTTGAGTTATTCCTAAAAAATTTACTGCCCCACAATAAAAAAACATACATATCTTCCATGCAAAAAAATGTGTACCTGCTTTCAGCACAAAAACATCGGAAAGAAAATCATACCGCCAGGAGAGATTAATAGTTCTCTATGTGGCCAGATGAATTACTACAGGAAAGAGAAAA